CCCGGCCCCCGGCCCGGCCTTCCCGAAGCGGGGGGGGTCACGCCAGGCGCTCTCGCCCGGGCGGTTGCCAGCCGGTGGGACCGGTAAGGGATGCGGTGCGGACCGGGAGCGCCCCGGTCCCGCTGGCTTGGAGAAGCTGTGATCTAACTCCCTCCAAACGCGCCCCTACGTAGGATTTATAGCCCAGTTTCGAAACGCCGAGGAGAAACCGGGTTGATCTGTTGCCCGTTTCTGGCTTTTTTTTTTTCCCCTCTGTTGAGATGCTTCGTATCTGCATCAGCAGTGTAGCGAAGCCGACTGTCGAGCCGGTTGTACTCATTAAGGCCATGGGGTTGTGTTGGCTCTGTGGTGTCCCCAGCACGGGACCGTGTTGCTCTCGCACGGGGCTGCTGGTACAATCCAGCGTGGACTAAACTATGTGGAGGAACTTCCTGGAAGCGTCCAGTGCAAGTCTATAGTAGCTGATGGGGTTTTTGTTCTATAACTGCCCGCACCTGTAATCCTTTCTCCTCCTACGTTCACCATCTTTGAGGGAAGACAGTTTCAGATGTTTCAATGTTCGGGCTCTTAAAGCAGAGGGGAATAAGCCATAGTACAGCTATCCTAATCGATCAAACTTAAAAGCCTAGATCAATGTTGGAGATAATGTGTGGTTGGAAAAAAAAGATGCTACAGAGAGATACTATGCTGCTATAAAAGGGGTTTTTACATTAAAGTAGTGGCTAAATCAGTAATCTGTCTTTTGTTATGTACTCAGCAGAAAGAACCCTTAAAAACCACTTTTTTAAAGATCAAAGAAAAAAGGCTAAATAAGCCTAGCTGTTTCTTAGATTTTGTACATAACTGCAGCCTGACTTCGAGATGGGGTGGTGTAAAAAGGATGATGAATTTGTCTAGTCCTTGAAAGGAACAGCGAGTAGTAGATTGATCAGTTTGCATAGTGCATTTGACATCACTTGTTGCAGTCTGTTTCATTGTCTGTCTTGTGTGTTATGTTTTCTTTTCTCTTTTTTTCTTTGGGCACTGGTGAAAACAAGCAATGGGCAGTATAAGTGGGAAGGAAGAATGCTTGAAATTCCGTCCTTTAGAAGTCTGTGATGGGGACTGGGTGTACTGTTGAGCTTTGGTCTGTCATCGGTTGGCAATGACAAGCAGCAGTCAAAAAATCGGATGGTAGTAGGGTATATACTCAGTGGAGGAAAACCAGAAGAAATAGTATAGTGTTGTTTATCTGGTCGGTGATGTTTTGAGCGATAGTACTCATACGGAAAGGATGGGCAAAAGGTTACCTGACGTCTATTAAGAGCTACTGCTGAACTTCTTCAACTAAAGTTTTCTGAGGCTAGTGCGGTATTAGGCTTGATGGGACAAGATCAGTTTTATCAGGACAGCTACAAGTTGTATGAACATAGAATTAAGAGGGAAAAAACTAGTGGTTTACTGTAGCTTTCCTTGACCTTGACAATTCGGTGTTACCTCTTAGGTAAAAATCTTGCATGTTAAAACTGCAAAGTTACTATTCTTAAATATGGGAGCATTAAATTTCTAGGCAACTACTTATGTAAAAGTTCAAGCAGTAGAAACAGGTCATTGGGGTCTTACTTCCATCTTTTAAAGCTGTTAGAAAACCAAGAAAGTTAAACTGAGATTCAGGTCCTCTGCTTATCCAAGTATGCCTCCTAAAGTCTAGGAGGATAGCGACTTATTTTGGCTTCAGAGAAGCTTTTGAGTAAGTCTTGCTTTGTATTATGATGGCAAGAATATTACTTGAACCCTGGATAAGAAAGGATTTAATCTCTTCTTAGGACAAGCTTTTGGTTGGTAGAAAATGAAGAGCATTTCTTCTGGGGAAAATGCAATGTTTGAGTAGAGCTAATGTTCATTAAGGTGGGGAATAATTCCAAAATCTGAAGGACTGGAAGGAAATGTTTTCTACATTTCCTTGTGTAATTAGGGAGCTAGATTGCGTTGCCATTAACATTGATCTTGACCCTGGAATGCGGGAGGCTAAGTCTGGTAAGTTGTAAAATGTTTACAATTTTATAGGTTAGCATAAGTGCTTAGGTGACCTACTCTGTGAAGTTGCATGCTCTCCTTGTAATTTGTATGGTGTTTGAGATGAAGCTAATCAGAAAATGGCGAGCTTTTTTTCCTGTGTCTCTTTCAGTTATGTGTTGAAATAACCAGGTTTTGATGACATATTTCAGGCAGTGAGCTGTCCCCTACAGCTGGTGATTCAACAATTTTGCGGATCTTTCAGGTTATGAGCATGTATAGTAATGGGCAGGCACGTCCTCCACGGGGATTTGTGAAACGGAGGCTGAGTCTTGAACTGGCTTCATGCTAAGCCCTTGTTTCTTTTACTTACATTTTATTCTTATCCCAGTGCTGTTGTCAGATAGACTAGAGGTTGGGAGCGGTGTTCTGGTATAATAGTTCTCAGAATAGAAAATTCAGGAGTCTGCTTGTTTGAATACACTCCCTCTATCTTTCAACACCACCATCAACCCTTTCATATGTGAAACTAGTATTCTTTGCTGATGGGAGAGATCACAGTGGAAGCCTCGTGAAATCCCAGGCAGACATGCTTTCTGAGATGCAGACAGAGTATTTGCCAGGAACTTCGGGACTTGTTTTTTGGTGAGGAAGGCCAATTATGTGTGGATGTAGCATACAGGTTGTGGCATGACGCTAGACAAAATCACACAAGAATGTCTCCTTTGGGTTTTGCTCAGGCTTAAATCGGTCTAAGAAAGTGAAATTCCATTATGTAAGTGCACTTGTCTTGGTGGGGTTCTGAGTAGAAAGCGGATGGATTTCATCCCAAAATCTGCTAGTTTCACAGTGGGAGGAACTTGTCTTTGGTTACTGTTGTTTGGTAAGTGACCAGAGTGGACCAGCTACTTGAGATTTGATTCTGGAAAAAATCTGTCTTGTGCACGATGAAGCATGAGATTTTAAAAAGCTACTGCCATCACTAAAAAGAATCTTCATAATTGTGTTTTGGTCATAATCTAATATATCCCAAATATAATTGGAAATAATGGATTTGCATGGAAATAAATCAAGCAAGACTAAGATTGTCTGAATCTCTTCAGAGTAAGAGCCACTCTAAAAACCAGCATGTAGTTGTCCAAAATGCTTTGTGCTCAGTTTGGTTCTTTTTTGTTTATAGAAGAAATACGTAAATTCAGACCACAAATGCCTGTATCAAAGAAGAGGTGTCTTTAGATGATCTTGTAAAGTAGCTTATTACTGGGATTCTCTGTATTATATTGAACTGATGGATTTAAGATAAGCAGGGAGGTGTTGTTTGGATCAGCTGCTTCAGTTGTAGGTCACTATCTCAGCCTGATTTGTTTTTTGCTGTTCATGTAGCTCCTGCTTCTGGTATTACAGATACACTTGCGGAAACTGGAATTCTCTTTCTGAATTTTACATGTTTGGACTGGTGATCTGAAAATGCTCTCCTGATCGGTTTATAGCTCTGAGAGGGAAATCCAGTTAAGTTAGTGGTGACTTACCTACTTTCTTCCCCAGCTAAATAGTACTTAGTGACTTTCAGGTTTATACATCAGCTTTTTGTGTAGGTGGAGAGCAGGCAGAAGTAGTTCTGGTCTGTGACTGCGGCATGCGGGTAGCAAAAAAACTATGGTGGAACAGAATTATATGCCAAGATTAGATTTATATGGAAAGGCTTCCAGGTGGTTGTATTAAGTTAAAAAATGCTTCTCCCCCCTCCACCTTGCCTGAAAGCAAGAAAGGCAGAAAAAGTAGAGCCTTTAATATATACTTATAAATAGTAAGAATAATAGTAAGAAGGACAAAATGCAGTTATTGGTTTTGAAAACATGAATTAGTTGAATATTAGGAGGTTTGTATTGTAAAATGGAGTGGAGTCTTTGCTTTTTGCTTCTGAAAGATGGCATCTGTTCGCACAGTGGTGTACCACCCTGAGGAGATAGCCCTTTGATATTGGGTGGAGGGAAGTAGTAATTTTAGCAGGCAATAAATTGCCCGTGTAAATGTCAAGAGAGAAGGAATGGAGAAATCACTGCTGTTGTGTGCTGTAATTTGGTTTACAGAATTGGTTGTGTCCGCAACATTGGAAATCCTGAGATTTAACAGGAAAATTGACGGGTCCAGGATCCAGCTGCGATACCTAAGGTTAAAATTTTGCCGAGTCCCTAGTAAGTGCCAAGATTATTTTCATAGCGCTTCTCTCATTAGGACTGCATTCGCTCTGCCGGGCTGCAGCAGTGCTGCTAAAAGGAAAGGTTGCAGCTACCGGGGGTCTGAAATTAGGCTGGAAATGACAGCTTTAATTGCATTTTGGTGTGACTGACTATGCTGTTCAACAGTGAAAGTTTCTACAGCACGTTTGATAGCAGTAGCTGGAAGCACTAGAGGCAGCATGTTCAGCTGTAATATCAAGCCACGGTAGGGTTATTTGAGGACACCATTCCAGGATTAACTCTTGAATTGCCTACTCTGATCTCTTTTAATGGTAACACTTGCAGGTTTTGCTTGTGTATTTGAGTGTTTTGGTATTTGATTGTTCAACTTAGAGTTCACGTCGATGGGAGAAACCAAATGAAATGCAGATCCTGTAATTTATAAGCTATATAAAGTTGAAACTCTTCATTTAGATATACTACACTGCCTTAAGTGTAGGTTCTGGGTAGACCAACCACCTCTGTGGTACACACTGCTGCGGAAACTTAGCATAACCACGTGTTTGGGATTAGAAGAGCAGGCTAAAATGTGGTAAACTACCAATTGTGATTAACTTCCTGTAGCTCTCCTGAAGGTGACATTCAGGGGCGTATTTTAAAAAAAAATGCTTGACTTAATTGTGTATTCAGTCCAAAATTGAAACAGCTTCTCTGTGGGATATTCATAATGCACTCAAGCTCTGTGAATCCTGCATGAGTCAAAATTGCTTGGTGTTAACCCAAATTATCCTAAATCGGAAGCTGCAGACATGAAGCACGGTATGTGAAAACACGAAGCTGCCCTTGTTGGTCATGGATCTGTCTCCTTAAGGACTTGAGAGGCTTCCTTTTGTTTTCCAAGGCCTATATTTGAAGGGAACGGCAAATTTGTGGTGAATTTGATACTGTGAGAAACTAAAATGTGCTTCCTGAGTTTGGGGGGTGGTTGTTGCTTAAAATTTCTCTCTTCCAATCCCGATCAGGACATTTGCTTTCCTGTACGGTTCTTGCACACTGATGGCAGCTATCCTGCAAATGAGGGGATGTGGGATGGGGAAAAAGGGAATAACGTGGAGAAAATCCATGTTATGTGTTGCCCAGCAGACCTCTTAACAGGATTGACAATTATTAAGTTTACCAAAAACACATGAATGTGGGCCGTTAAAGATTTCCTTCTTGAGAAACAGGAAGTACAGTGGAATTGTTTTTTTTGGGGAAAAGATGCTTGTATTGAGCTTGTATTGAACTTGTAATAAGGAAGTAAACAGAGGCAGTTTTTGAACAGAGTGCTGAAACAGGCTTTCAGGTGCAGCTTTTCTCAAGAGATGTCTCTGCCACTTTCCTTTTTTAATTGCCATGTAATGAAGGCAGATGCAAATGAACTATGTGGGGTGGGGCCTCCCTTGGCACAAGTTGAGCTAATCCTGCACCGTGGCTGGAAGTTGGACCTTCCTGCCCCCACCCGTGTGCTGGCACTAGCACGCTGGAAGCCTGGTCACCAGCTCGGGGAATTTATTTCTTTCAAAAGTAAAGCGACCAGAAGGCAAAGTTTTCATATCGTTCAGCTGGTTGGCTCTGCAAGTACAACCCTGACAGAGGGAACGGAGTCAGGAGCGTGAGCTGTTTCGGGGAGGGTGGAGTAGGCTCTTTGTGGCTGTGCAGACTTTACTTCAGTCAGACCTGTTATGAAACCACATCTGTAAGTATTTTCCTCCACCAATCCAGATAAGCGTGAATGCTTTTTCGTAAACTTTCAACAGCGGGCCTTTTGAATCTGAGCAGTTCTCTTGATGGAAGAAGATAGCCTTGTTAAGGTGGTGAACTGTGCATTAGGGAACCATGAAGAAACCAAGTTTTTCAAGATTCTTGTTTAAATAATCTTCATAGTCAAATTTAATCCTTTCATGCAGAATTGAGGAAAAGTGAGATGTTTGACCTGGGGTAAATCTAAACCTTGGTCTGAAGTCTTCAAACTCAGATGATGCTTCAAATGATACGATCTGCTGCAATTTTCTGGAAACGCTTGGTAGTAAAGATGCTGCAGTGGAGCAAAGCCAAAAGTCCAGACTACAGTGTGCAAGGTGTTCAGAATCGCTGATTGCCTCCCTACTTTGAAAACCAGTGGAAACAAATCTAAAGGCTCTACTGCTTTTCAGAGTAATTTTCAGCGTTTGCTAAGATATACTACAAAATATATGTTGTGTGCAAATACCAGTTGACTCCTCAGCCTGGTTGACTCCTCAGCCTGGTTGACTCCTCAGCCTGGTTGACTCCTCCTTTAGTTGTAAGTATTTATCAACACTGTTGCAGCATAGAAATGATTCACAGCTACTTAATCTGTTTAGATGCACTGGTTCTTCCTCAGTTTACCATATGCACTTTGATTGCTGTACATGCAAATTTTAAGTATATTTGTATGAAGGATACGGGATGAGACAATGGTGAAAAAGGTAGTTCCTGAAGTGCAGATTTTGGATTATCAAGCATGATATGCCAATCAAGATAAAGACAGGACAAGCAAAGAATAGCTTGTGAACCTTGGGGGCCCCTGCAAAAGGGAAGACTACTTGGAATTTCTTGTAGGACTTCTTAAGTGAATGAGAGAACTTATGACTAGAACACAAGAAAGAAATCTATAGTAGTTTAGTTTGGATTAAATCCGTAAGAGTTTGTGGATAATAGCCGAAGATTAATCTTTCAAGGCATAAGACTAAATGAATGATTTCTGAAGGCCTTTTAAGGAACAAAAGATGCTAATGTGTGATGCTCAGAAGGCTTCTTCAGAAAAGTTGCGCTGCTTTT